AAAACTCCTTGCAAATAGACCTGTTTGGGGGCTGCCTGCAAATCCCCAGAGCTTCTCAGAGATGGCTGAACCCCAGCAGTGAGATCTCTACCGTATTTCGAATTTCCTGTCTGAGTAAATCTTCATGTCTTTTATTTTGGGGCATGCAAGAGCTTGGCCTGAGAGCTTACTGCTCTCAGTCTGGTCTTTCTCCTAAGGCCGGGAGAAGGAAGGACAGCAGAGGATACTGTGCTGAGTACAGAGACATACCACCCATATGCGACACAGCGATGTCGCCACAGCCTCTGGTCTAAGTCTCCCATAGGAAGTCCAATTACCAGTATTTCATCACAGCACAGTGTTTTAGGTTCAGCTCCTCATCCCACTTAGGTCCTGAGCTCACAGTCCACACAGTCTTCTTGAGGTGTGGGGCCCAGGACGAGTTCTGCAGAGCCTGTGCTCCAACCTCAGGGATGACTCCTGCTCCTTTGTAACCTTTCCTGTGATCTAACACTAACTTCTGCGTTCTTTTTGCCTTCTTATCTGTCTGCTAGTCTAGAGCAAGTCAAATGCCCCCACTGATTCCTACAACTAGATATTGTGGGCAGTCATGATAGACTTTTTTCCTGCGTAGAAAGAGAGTATGGGAGATTACGAAATTGACTGTTTTGACTCAGAGACTTTCGAGGATAACCACGCTCCTTTCTGCTAAGAGCCACTTAAGTGTCCCTATCACAAGTCCTGTGAGAGCAGTGGCCCTGTCCTCAGCAACCAGGTGCACTGCCACAGAGAATGGGGACTGAGAGCTACCCCAGGGACAAGACCAGAATAAGATGCTCTCTCATCTGCCATCGCTTCTTCCTGGGTATGCTTACAGAAGACAACTTGGTTAAAATCTAAAATGCTTCTAGTTTCTACAACTATCATATAAGCACTAGCATCCAGCTTACACTCTAAGTTTTGGCATAAGCATTAAATCTACTGAAGCATCCATGACTAGACACAAAATTTGGGTCAGGATTTCTGAATTTTGCTTTTACATATTTGAATAGATGGCTAGCCTTTCTTTGATCATCACTTACCATCATAAATTGAGTCCTTCAAAGCAAAAAATTATACAAATGACATCAAAGTACATAAGCTGTCCAGGGAGACCTAGTAAAAAAGACACAGGAACGAGGAAGCATAAGCAGGTGAGGCAGGTGCTCTTTGTAGGTACACTTTGCAGTATTCACCTATATACTGGACTGCTTTGAATTTTCCATATCTCTGAAATGAAATGTTCCTGATGGAACAGCTTGTTGAAGGGAGTGGTTCTCAAAATTTTGGTCTTAAAATCCTTTTACACTCTTAAAAATGATTGACAACCCCAAATAATTTTTGTAAGGGTAATATCTATCAATATGTATCAAATTAGAAATTAAAAATGAAAAATTTTAAATATTTATTAATTTGTCACCATATTAACATAAGTTACATTCTACAGGTTAACATAAACAACATATTTTTATGAAAGATAACTATTTTCAAAACGAAAATAATATCTGTCAGAAAAATGGCATTTTTTTATATTTTTGCAACTCTCTTTACACTTGGCTAATAAAAGACAGCTGAACTCTCTCATCTCCTCCTTTATTTAATCTGCTATGACATCATATATCATGTTGCCTTTGGGAAATCCCACTATACACTCATGAGAAAAAGGCAAATAATCACTCCTCGTGCACCTTGACTCCAGCTGTCTACGCAAGCCCTCTTGTACTCAGTGTCCTGTGCATATGCCTTGCAAGCAATGGGTCTGACCTCCAGATTACCAGTTGAAAGGATCTCAGCAGTTACCATTGCTGCTGGGACAGCTGCAATTGCTTATCAAGCTTACAAAAGATTTTATGTTAAAGATCATCGCAGGAAATCTACAGTAAAACTTCACATGCAGAAAGACAACCCCAATGTGTACTGTCATTGTTGGAGGTCCAAAAAGTTCCCATTCAGTGATGGATTTCACACAAAATACAACAAAGAGATGAGGCAACATGGGACCTCTGATCATTAAGAGAAAAGAAATTTAAATGGACACTTTTGGTCCTGCACACCAATGTCATGATGTTACCTGATTGTTTAATTAGAATGACTACCACTTCTGCCTAATGTACATCCTCTGGGTTCTAGATGTGGTATATTGCAAACTACAGCTTTCATAGTCACAGCATTTGCCTTACCTGTTGAATCATCATGGTGCACATTTGCTTAAATGAAGGAAAAAAGTAAAAAGGGGAAACCACCCTCATGACCTGGGGGTTATTCTGGTCTTGTAAGGATCCATTTCTTTACATTTAAAATAATGACGTTAGAATATATTTTGTATGTTTAAGTTAATGTATTAAATTATTCTCAAAATAAAAAAAAAGAAAAACAACTTTGGCCTCACAGCTTCCCCAAAGGATCCCTGATCATACTTTGAGAACTGCTGGCTTAAGGGATCAAATTTGTCTTAAAATCAGGGCTGTATAGCATACACATTATCTGCATATGGCTTGCAGCTGGAAGAAACCATCTTATGTATCAACAGAGAAAGAGGTTGAAGCAAACCCCTCCCCTGTACCACTGGGCTAGCCTGTTTCTTTCCCAACAACCTGGACTCCCCCAGATGGATGGACAAAGTATATGGCAATCTCAGAAGGGAACGGCAGCGTAAGAGGAAGGGAGTTTGGTGGTCTGCCTACTGGAACTTCCTCTTGTACCACCCAAAGGAAAGTCCATCATAAAGGAGGCCTGGCAGCTCTGGCTAGCACAGATTGGACTAGAGGACTCACTCAGTAGCCGAGGGACACAGGCAAATTTAAAGCCTGTCAGATGACACACATGTGAAGAATAGATATAATAAAAAGAGAAATATTTAATCAAAAAGCGAACAAAACCTCAAAGCATCATGTATTTTCAATAGATGCTCCTCTACCTGACTCCCCTGCCAACATGCATGCTACCTATTAAGTTTCTCAGTCTGCTGCTCTACTCACGCTCTCAGGAAAACTGGCCTCCCACAGGAGAAGTCTCACTCCCTGGGCCCTTCCAGAGTTTCCATCCTTGAGTGGTGCCCTAGGTTTTAGCCAGCTGAACACAGATGATGCCCTCTCCCAGTTAGATTCCTTTAACAGAAAGGAGAGGCGGTTACCAGAGGGGATGGGGGTGGGAGGAGGGCGAAAAAGGGCACATTTAGGGTGACAGATGGCAACTCGACTTTTGGTGAACACGATGCAGTCTATACAGACGTTAAAATATAATGTACACCTGAAATTTATATAACATTATAAACCAATATGACTTCAGCAAAATAAATTAATTAAAAACAAAAAGAAAGGAGAGGTCAATTGTCAACTGTCAAATTGAGAGGTCAATTGTCCTCACCACTCCCAGGGATTTGTTTTGGGTGGAGATATATTTATTCCTTGTACTGTCCCCTCTTACTTGCATATATGAGTAGGGAAGGATGCCCTATCTAAGAATCTGGTTTGGCCTAAAGTAAATAAAAATTTGTAATTTCCAGGCACTGGCTAAGTTCTTGTACCACTAAAGAGTGGCCACCAGAGAAAGATGGTCCCAAGATTTGAAAGGGCAGTAGAATGGATCCTCATGCCTTCTACATTAAAAAGCCTCCTGAAGAAAGGAGAGTGAAGAAAGAACTGTTACTGCCGTGGAAAACAGTCTAAGTGAAATCTTCACTGAGGGCAGGGGACCTGCAGATCTGCCAGCATTTAGGAAAACACAATTCCTTAAATGGTGTTTATATTTTTTAGTCTTCGAAAATATTGGTTGTTCTTAGGACAAGTTTGTATTCTTGCCAACAGTTGTCCACAGGTATCCACCAGATTTTAAGAAGAATGAGAAAAACTATCTTCACTTCACACCATGGTTGAGAGAGATCAAAGGTCACCCGACTTAACATAGCAAAGCCAGCAGTGGATGTTTCTGCAGCACTTGCCTGTAGTGTCAGTCTAAACAACTCGGGCTTTGGCGGAACATCTGCTGTGGGTTATTTTGCCTAGTGAAGTCCCTGAGATAGGAGAGGGATGGCTTTTAAGGCAGGTGAGCATCAGTAGTTAAGGGACCGAATTTCCTATACCATGAAGGCATGGAAATTTGGGAGCAGCGAGGAAATGTCCCTCACTGAGAGTGGGAGAAAGATGACTCCCCAGCCGGCACTCCGGGGCACCTGGGAATGAAGCAGAAAATGAAGCATGTCCTCAACGGATGCTGCTGTACCAGACGTCCTCTTATATCAGCTGTGTTTCCTTGAACTCTGAGGATAGTTATGCCAAGTAACCCCTTGAAAGTTATTTTCTCCTACACTGTAATTTCCCAGGTCATCCTCTCAGTCGGGGTGTTTAACGTGTACAGCCTTGTGCAGCTGGAGGAGACCATAAGACAGACAGGATTGGGAAGCCAGACAAGAAGCAGGAAGGTTGCTCCTTTCCTTTGCTGTACTGTGTTCCTTCATCATGTCACTTCTTATGTGACACTAATGTATACCTTGCTTGGTTCCAGGAAACTATTCCTATTCCACTATGCTGAAACTCTTTCCTTTCTGACCCACTAAGTTGGAATCCTGAGGCCAGAAATTATCTTTTGAATCTCCAGTTTGTCATCACCTAGTACCATCTGGCATTCAATCAAAATTTAAATGGAAAAAAACTGAAATAAATTTTCCTTAAGGAGAAATCATTACATCTATTTGGATCCAAATAATTAAGAAACAGTAAGAACAAAGAGTGTGAAGGTACGCATATCGTGATTATATAAATGCAAAGATTTACTTGCTTGTGTCTTTTTATTATACATGTTATGTTCCTGGGCAATTAAATTAATATTGGAAGAATCTTTCTAGTCAATTAAATATTTAGATAACTGAGTATGCTTTCACATTATCTCTTGTTACCAAACATATCAGTTTATTCAAAATAAAGGGACTGAAAAAAAAATCAAAAGAAAAAAAAAAGGCCTGTGGCTCCTCCTCCAGACACCCCCTCCGAACGGTGATGAATAGGAGGGACAGTTTCCCCCCCTCCGCACGGGAGACATTATCCTTGCAGTGTTTTAGGCTGTTTTGAAATTCTTTTCTTTAGAAGTGATTTTTTCCCTTAATATCAAAGAGCTGCTGCTGTCCCTGTGGCTAGCGCACCGGGGCCGAGGACACGGCGGCGCGGCTGGTGACCATGCAGACTAACGATGGAGCAGCCGGGGACGCGCTCTCCAGGGTCTGCAAGCCGCGCACACCTTGACTGACAGCGGATTCCTCTCCACAGGTTTCCCCGTGGGAACGTGCCCCACGCGATCGTTCGGTTTTCTTTAAAAAATCGTGGAAGGGGCTCGGCCAGCGGAGGGGCCGGGTGCGGGGGCCGCGGGAGCGCATCGAGACCCGGCTCCGGCCCTGCGGTGCGCGCGGCCGCGGACGGGCTCTGCGGGCCGGTCCCGCTCCAGGTCCCGCGGGGGAGCGGCAGCGGCAAGGGGCGGCGCGGGGCCCGAGAGCCCGCTCTGGGCCGCCTAGCGCGCGGAAGGCGCGGCCGAACGCTCCCGGAGCCCGCCGCTCCTGCCCGGGGCTCGGCGGCTCGGCGGGGTCTGGACGGGCGGGGACACCGCGTGGAGCGCACCCGCCAAGGCCAGATGTACCAGAACCCCGCTGCGACGCTCCCGCCCGCACTGAAGCCCCGCTTCGTAAAGAAAGTCCTAGCCTGTCCGCGCCGGGTCCCGAGAGAGGCGGCGGCACAGCAACGAGTGTGAACGCCGCACAGGAGGTTTGTCCCCGCCCGCGCGCCGTACCGCCGGCCCAGCAGGGCACGGCGCGCGGCCGAGATGGGCGAGACCATGTCGAAGAGACTGAAGCTGCATCTGGGCGGGGACGCAGAAATGGAAGAGCGGGCGTTTGCCAATCCCTTCCCGGACTACGAAGCCGCCGCCTCAGCGGTATTCGGCGCTGGAGCGACCGAGGAGGCAGGGTGTGCTCGCCCCCTGCCCGCCGCTGACGAGCCCGGCCTCCCTTTTCACAACGACGGGAAGGTGAGTAGGCCAGGCCTCAGGCCGCGCCACGGGGGGAGCGCCGGCGGTGGTAGCGTCCACCCGTCCGCGGTTGCGTCCGCCGGCCCGCCCCGCGGCGCGATGACGTTACCGTGCGCGCGCCGCGCTGGGTCCAGGCCTCGTGGCGGTCGCTGATTACTTGGGGAGACCTCTGCGCGTCTTCGGGTTGCGCGAGGTGTATTCGTCCCAGGCAGGCCATCCGAGGGCTGTCCCCTTCTTTTCAGTTAGCCTCTCCTCTCTGGGTGGGCGCCCCCTAGCCCCTCCTCCCTCTGAAACATAGTGACGCAGCGCTCTATTTTTGCCAGGTAGGGTGACTGTCCGGCTCCGCTGGCGGTCGGTGGGGAGGTGTATTTATGAGAGCCCTGTCGACGAAAATAATCCATAACCAATCTATAAATGAAAATTTGAGTGAGTTTATTCTGAGCTTAAATCTGAGGATTATAACCCGGGAGAGTCTTTCCACAAAGGAACAGAGCACTCCAAAGAAGTGGGGGTATAAGGGTGGTTATATACCCTCAAAGAAGGTGTTTCACAAGTGATTGAAATGTCCCTCCCACAATAGTCACAAGATTGCCCTGTCGGCATAGCACTTGATGGACACAGCAGGTCGTGGGTCTGCTATCTTGGTGGGCGGAGCAGGAGGCAAGTCTGTTGTCTCCAGCTGGGCGGTCACAGGTGAGCGCAGCAATCAGCTTCTAGCCTAAGGAAAGATACTTAATCCTTAAGGAGACGCCAACAGTGGGAGGGGGAGGGAAGTTGCACCTTTATCTCAAGGGCCTTTGCTCTTGCCATAGGGAATCTCTAAAGCAGATATACAATGCATGCTCAATGGCCTCGGTCAGGCCCTTATGGAAAGACAAGGTCAGGCCGAATTAGGTTTACACCAAATGGCTTCCTCATATATTCCAACATATCCTATTACTTGCCATTTTTGTCAGCCCTGAGCACGCCCCACATCTGGAGCTGCATACGTACCCATGGACGACCTTTTCATAGTTTTCCTGGGGCCGATCTTATCCCCTGGGCCCCTGCCCTAGGAATTTAGGGCAGGCACGGGAACAACAAAGCTGCACGGGAACAACAAAGCATTGTTGGTAAGCCGTTGGTCATCTGTCTGTGTGCCCAGGAGTCGGAAGGGCGAAATCTGAACAAACGTTAACTTGGTAGGGAAAAGTGGAAATAAAGGAGGACGTGAACATCAACATAACTGTTTTCATGTTTGGTAAAACCATACATCTACCGCCTAGGTGATGCGGGGTCGGTGAGCCGAGGAGTCGAAAGAAAGATTTCTTAGACTCTCAAGATTTGGCAGTAGTGCTCTTTTATTTAGAGAATAGTGTGGAATAGCATGGGGACAGGACCCATGGGCAGGCAGAGCTCCTGCTGCTGCCGCTGCTGCTGCCCCCACTGGCATGGGGACAGGACCCATGGGCAGGCAGAGCTGGTGCGTGGGGACAGGACCCACGGGCAGTCAGAGCTCCTGCTGCTGCCCCCGCTGGCATGGGGACAGGACCCATGGGCAGGCAGAGCTGGTGTGTGGGGACAAGACCCACGGGCAGTCAGAGCTCCTGCTGCTGCCCCCGCTGGCATGGGGACAGGTCCCATGGGCAGGCAGAGCTAGTGTGTGGGGACAAGACCCACAGGCAGTCAGAGCTCCTGCTGCTGCCCCGAGTTGAGGGTTAGGGCTAATTTTATAAGGCATGGGTACGTGACTTATTTTTACTGGAGAAAAGAAAAGATGATGTAAAAAGTCATTAAATGATTTCAGTGCAGATGGGGTCTGGTTATTGTGCGGTCATATAACTTTAGATACGAATCTGGCCATATAGATCGGTATCTAGGTGAGGATGCCCTGGGCTTCTCTCCCTGGGGCAGCCCTAATTCACACCATAAAAAAAGTCCACTGGGTCATATAGTTTGGCATGTAGGCCAGGTCACCTTGGGCTTCTCTGGCTGGGGCAGCCTTAATCCACATCATAGGTGGTTGTTTTTCCACCGATCTCGGCGTTCCAAGTCCCACTTCCCTCCCTGGCTCCCCGTGTATTTTGTGTTCCAAAAGGTGTAAGTTCGTCAGAACTAAGAAGACAGTTTTGAAAGAGCCATTGGTCTGAATATGGAATCTGAGGCAAGTGTCTCCTCTAAATCTCCCTTTCCTTAAATGTGGTTAAAAACGGAATAATTCCTAACTCACAGGGATGTCACTGATTGATTGAATTAAAGTGTATAAATTGCCTGGCAAACTGCCTAATATGGTACCTAGTAGACCCCCGATAAATGTCAGCCTCTTTTTTTCCCCCTGGAAATTCAAGTCTTATGGTTTAGAATTCATATTTCAATATTGATTTTTCTCTAGATTTCTCCTGTTTTCACATACATATCTGTTATATTTGTGACTTAGTGTTCATTCACGTTTTTTTTTTTCTTTGAGGAAGACTGGCCCTGAGCTAATATCCATGCCCATTTTCCTCTACTTTATATGTGGGATGCCTGCCACAGCGTGGCTTGGCAGGCAGTGCGTAGGTACACACTTGGGATTTGAACCGGGGCTGCCGAAGCAGAATGTGCGAACTTAACCACTGTGCCGCCGGGCTGGCTCCTTGTTCACGTTTTTTATATTATTTTTATAATAAATCTTTGGCAAGCGTTAAGAAAAAATCCATCCTTCATGCTTATTATCAGTGGCCATCTCATATAATCAAACTCCTGACCACTATTTGAGTCTCCGTGAGAACAACAAAGAGATGGAAATAGTTGTTTCATTTTCTACCTCATGGAGAATAAACACTGGTTCTGAAATTACATGTTTTTCTTTTTACCCTTTTTATCTGGTAAATGTGATTTTTGACCTCAATTATATACCAAACTGACTTATGTAACAGAAAATTAAACCACAAATAACTAGTGGGGCTTGTGATATCTGTATGCAGTTAAACAAAATAGTGGGAGTGGGGACCCATGCCAGTGGTTGTGATTAGTGGATATGCTAAAGAAAGGGGAAATGGAAATTGTGGTGTTCTTGAACATGAAAATGAGAGCACATTAAAGGGAGAGGGATTGTGATTTTAAAAGGTGGAAAAAGGGGCCAGCCTGGTGGCTAAGTGGTTAAAGTTCCACGTTTTTCACTTCCGCCGTCAGGGTTGGCAGCTTTGGATCCGGTGCAGACCTACTCCACCCACCAGCCATGCTGTAGAGGCATCCCGCAGACAAAAAATAGAGGAAGATTGGTGCAGATGTTAGCTCAGGGCTAATCTTCCTTACCAAAACAAAAAAAAAAAGATGGAAAGAATGCTTCTTAGTTATAGGAAAGTCATAAGAGAAAATAAATATTAAGTTCCGCTGTCTTCTGTATAGATACTTTACAATTGGCAGATTATTACATTTTTTAATTCTTAAAATATTATGTTAAATTGTATTTAAGATAGAAGATATCCAATTAACCATTTGTTTTGATAGACATGAAGTTTCATGAAAATGAGGATGTTATGGGTTGAATTGTGTCTCCCAAAAAGATATGTTGAAGTCGTAATCACTGGAACTTCAGAATGTGACCTTATTTGGAAATAAGGTTATGGTAGATGTAATTAGTTAAGATCATCCTGGAGTAGGGTAGGCCCTTCATCCCTTATAATTGGTATCCTTATAAGAAGAGAAGAGAGAAAGAAATGCACAGGGAGAAAGAAGATGGCATGTGATGATGGAGGCAGAGAGTAGAGTGATGGTTCTACAGGCCAAGGAATGCCAAGGATTGCCAGCAAACACTAGAAGCTAGAAGAGGTAAGGAAGGATTCTCCCCTACTGGTTTCAGAGGGTGCATGGCCCTGCCAACGACTTGATTTTGGATTTATGGCCTCCAGAACTGTGAGACTATAAATTCCTGTTTGTTTAAGCCACTCAGTTTCTTTTGGCACCCCTAGGAAACTAATAGGGAGGGCAATTTGTAAATCTCTAATTTAGGCATAGAGGGATAAGTTTTTCTTGGTGAGGTGTGCTGTCGGTGAGAAGAGATTACAGAAAATTTACCAACACAATAAAACTTTATTACAAAGTATCCTTTAAGTCATTTACTGAATCTCATTTTAGGTTAGCTGTGTATATGTGTGGTGTAATCAGTGAATCAATAAATTCTCTTCCAATTCTAAAATCAGCTCAAGTCTCCTCTGGATCATGTTTTCATAAGTAGGCTTTTGTAAACTTTTTAACAACATTGGTCCAAATATTATGAAAAGCAGTGAACCAACGTAGTAGCAGTTTTTTTAGCAATGGAAGGTATCTGAAGTAGATACTGTTGGCTACTTATCTAACAGCCGTTTCTTCCCTTCTTTTTACTTGATTTTGTGGTGGCCATGGACTTCAGGCAAAGTGAACCCAGCTCTGGGGACTGAATCATAATTAATCTAAGCCAGTGGTTCTTAAAAGTGTGCTTCTCTGACCACCAGCATCAGCTTTATCTGGTGTATCATCAGGATCCAGTCAGACACACAGTAATTTGATAGAGAAAGCTTAATATAAAGAGCTATTACTAACCGTAACAAGACTGGAGTAATGAGAGATTGTCTCATAAAAAATAAAGCAAACTCCAAAGAATATGGGACTAGCAGGTGTAAGAAGCCGGCTACTCCTAGGGCTGAGAGGGCATTCAAGGAAGAGGCCTCTGTTATTAGCTGTCTGTTGCCGTGTAGTAAATTATTCCAAAACTTAGTAGCTTAATAAATGTGTATTATCTCACATAGTTTCTAAGGGTCAAGAATCCAGTTGCAGGTTAGCTAAATGGTTCTGGCTCAGGGTCCCTCACAAGGCTGCAGTCATCTGAAGACTCAGCTGGAGCTAGAGAGGCTGCTTCCAAGCTCACTCACACAGCCATTGGCAGGCCTTACTAGCTGTTGGTTAGAGGCTTCACTTTCTTACCACGTGGGCCTTGCCATAGGCTGCCTATGACATGGCAGCCAGCATCCTCTAGAATGAGTGATCAAAGGGAGAGTGTG